ACACACACACACACACACACACACACACACACACACACACACCAGCAGTACGTCCTGCACAGCGGGAAGGGAGGAGGGGAAAAAAAGGCAGAAACACAGCTGCAGCCCTAACGGACCAAACTTCAGTCAAACAAGACCCAACACTTTTATTCCTGATTTAAACTAGTGATCTTGTGAGCAGCTGCAGCTGTATGCTTTTATTTTTTATGTCAGGCTGTCGCGGAGCGCTCCACCTCCTCTGTCCGAGGCTGGTGTGGTGTGAGGCGGACAGCTCTCTCGTCCTGGCCACACCTCCGCTCTCTAACCCCCACTCCCCCACCCACACCCTCTCCCCTACCCACTTTGATGCATTTTTCAAATTTCGCCTTGGGGCGGAGTTATCTTTTCRCAGGGGGGGTAAGATACACTTTAAAATAAATAAACTATTTGATTCTCTTTTCCACCTCATATGTACAACAAGTCCCTCCAGAATGCAGAGAAGCTTGGCTCATACCACTGTGGTGGAAATATGAACCCTAATGAACGCCACAGGGGTTACCTGAGCCGGGACAGGTAACCAGAGCTGTGGCGGCTGATGCCCCAGACACTCTGTGCTTTACCTGAGGGTCTGCCTGGAAGCGACAGGCTGCCTCCTGGACCGCTGCGTAGCAACACAAACTGAAACAAACACCTATAATATCCTAAAACCTTAATTTGACTAATAAAAAGTCTCCATGATGCCCGCTGGCTGTAAAGGCACTGTAACCTGGGACTACGTGCTGTGTTATCTTACCTGAATCAAGGCGAGTACTTTATCTTGAACGATGGTGGGGGGGTTGTTTTTAGGAGAGATTATCTTAACGAGCACGCCGTCAACAAAGTCTCTGCTCGTTGCTAAAGCGTGAAAACGATGGCCGCAGTTCTTCACGCACGTCTCGAGAACCTGACGGGTGTCAAGATGAAACAGCTTTCAGCACATGACAGAAAAAAATACTGCAATAACAAGTCAAGGGTGAGGTTTCCATTTTATTACAACATATGCAGAGAAAAGTTGTATTTTCTCAGTTGAACTCACTGTTAAAGTCAGCATCACTTCTCTGTAGTTCTTGTTGCCATTGAGTCTCTTCTTGACTGCTCTAATGGCATCTTTTGGCCTGAACACAAGAAACAGAAACAGACAAAGACAGCTTAACCAAAAACTATAGCGGTTTTTAAAAAGCACTTCCAAAACAGGACATAAAGGACAACAACTACTGCAAAGGATTTAAGTAGCATTCTTATTTTTCAGCCAAACATGCAGACAAATATTTTACAAGCTGAATACAGTAAAGAATTATTACATTTCTTTGACTTTCACAATCTTGGTTTTGGCACTGTGATTATTCATTCATACGGCACAGGATTAATAAACTGTCTTCAATCAATTTTTGACTGAATGAACCCAGGTTACAGCAGTAAGCTTTGTGGCATCCTTGTCATTCCTCAAGCTCAAGAAACAAGTCAAACCTCTTTTTTTATTATATCCCTGATGTAAAGCGCGGCACGCTGGGCTTGGCCTGCCTAAGCCAGTTTATAACCCGATGAACAAACAAGAGCTGGACTTCACACAGCAGCTTCACCAGAACGTTATGATGCAATGAGATAAGAGGTGAGGCCTTGCAAGGATCCACCTCACACACCCTAGCTAGATTTAATTTCTTACAGTGGAACAGATGAAGAAAGGCTGAAAATGCATGACTCTTATCCTGAGCTCAGGTGGGGTAAATGTAAACATCCTGTGAAGTCGTGTAGTGCAGATTTATTTACAGCAAACAAGATGTACAGAGATGGGTACTCACCCATCCTCTGTTTCATTGATGATATCACATATTTCCATGTTGAGGGTCCAGTCATCACTTTGCAGGGAGCCATCGGTGGCTCTTTCTACAACAGACACACAGGAAGTTCAGGAAATTCATAAAAAAATACAACGCATGACGATGATTGATGGTGGCTAGCTGTTAGCTCGTGTAGTTTACATTAACACAAATACAGATTTAACGCTTTTAATACAAACATAATTTGACAAATGACAAAAAAATAAACAATAATTCAAAATAAAATTTAATTTGATAACGTCATGGTTTTCCCAGTCAGAGGCGAAATGTGTTTCTGTAAGTTAGCTAGGCGGCTAACAGTAGCAAACCCCGTAAGTAAATGGCCAGTATGCGATGACACAAAACGGTTACGATTCCGAAGCATTTTCATTAACAGACCGCGTTTCTGTTTTCAAAATGCCCAGTTCCTTACCAATACAATGCCCCACAGGGGTAGTGAAAGGATTTCCCAAAAGGAACTCCATCTTGCCCGACAATAAACAAGTCAGTCCATGGGATGATGGTAATGATACATGAGGAAACATGTATTAAGTCCCGCCTACATTGCAACATAATTGGTCAAAACAGACATATTGTCTTCTCTGATTGGACAGTGACAACGTCGTCAAGAAAGCTGTAAATAAACTCGGGTCATCCTATTGGAGAGAAAAAGCTCAGTGGTCACGTGGTTCGTGTAATGAGCTTGTATCCGGAAGTCGTTGGCTGGAAATTTATTAATATGTAAATATATTTGTTTTTAATTGCCATCATTTAAATGTTTTTTTTCTTTAGATTGTAAGATTGTTGTTCATATTTTTCATTGTCTAACATATTGACAAGCTAAAGAGTAAGAAAATAAAAAGGGTTTATTTTTTAAATTGATTAATTTTTGAAATGTCTCAAAATGCCAAATAATTGATTACGCACACAATTAGTCACACAACGCACATGTATCACAGGAAACTACTGAATGTTGACGTTATTTCTCCACATAAAGAATAATGTGCATTAGAAGATGAATGAATTAATGTGAGAGATATTTTTTGGTATTCTCAAGCACTTCTTATCCTAAAGCATTCAATAGGTTGAAAAACATGCAATAAGTAAGAATTTTTCATCATTCAATAGGTCAGAAAAAGTWAAAAAAAGAACTACCAACACTAAGAACAAAGGTCAGGTGGACAGTGTACATAAAAGTGAGAGTTTAGAGTAATTATTTCTATCAATAACATGTTTTTTTCTTTTTGTCTCTTCCAGAAGTAGGTGCACCTGGACCAGTTCTTCTGTGTTTACCTGTGTCTCTTTCCTGTCCCTCAACCAGCCGGTCGAGGCAAATGGTCTCCTGTCCTGAGCCTGGTTCTGCTGGAGGTTTCTTCCTGATTAGCAGGGAGTTTTTCCTCTCCACCGTTTGCTCAGGATGGGAGACTGTGATGAAGTGATGCAACACAATCTGCTGGTTTCTTCTTTAGTGTTCTTTTTTTTCATGTACAGTGCCCTGAGACAACCTGTGTTGTGACTTGGCGTTATATATAAATAAACTGAATTGAATTGTTTTTATTTTGGATGAAAAACATTAAAATTAAAGGCTTAAGGGGATTCTAACCAGGTACTGTCCTATGATTAACTATAAAGCTTGACTGAACAAAAGCAGCTACTGCTATTTGGCTTGTTATTYGAGTAATATGAACATGTAGATAGTTAGCAGAAGTCATGCCTTTAATCCTAACAGAATTCTCCTAGGATAAAAATAAATCAATATGATGCTCACCTAACTATTTTACTAACAAAGACTTATGTAACTATAAATATATAAACATTTTTGCTTACATTTATTTGCCAATAATAAACATAATTTTGCTTTAAACCAATTCAAACAGCAAATAACATTTACAGATAAGTATTCTTTTGTAGTTCTGATCCATGTCAGCACTATTTGCTCTTTGCATGTTGATAAATACAAGATAATAAAGAAGTCTGCTTCTTTACTRCAACTGACCTTGTGCAAAAGAAAATATACAGATAAGCCTACAGTAAATGAATCTAAACCTCCTTCAGTYTCTCCATCTCTTCACTAGTCAGTAATAAAGTGACAAAGATGGRTTATTTAAAGAAAAAAAACAATCTGACTCCATAACCAGTTTTCACAAGCTGAGTCCCTCTACAAAATCAAACCCACAGCATAATTAATGTGGGCTGGCACAGATGGGACACACAGAAAAAGCATCATGAAATGAATATACAATCACTCTGTTTAAGCCTTGTGCCTGAGTCCGAAGTGTCACAGCAGCAAAATGAGAGATGACTCCACAACAGMTGACTGACAGAAGATAAAAGGAACAGTCTGGATATGTGGTGCTGAATGTGACTAAAGACATATTCCTGCACCTATGAGAGTTTGGGGGTATTACAGCAAATTTACTTTGTGTTTTCAAAACAGTTTTTTTTTATTTCTTTCTGCTGGTCCTGCTCCTCCTCAGTCTTGCATGAGTTTACGTTTGACGGTTGAACTCTCAGATGAGAGCTGAACAAAAAGAGCTCCAGCTGCGGTCCGTGCCCTCAGCTCATACATGTCGTAGTCATGGGCCCATTCCACGTTACCCCAACGTTGAATCTGTCAAGAAGAATAAAATTAATGAGATTAACTTCTGTATTCTTCAYAAAGAAAGCCACCCATGAAATTTTTAAAGCATCTCTGGATCAACAATCTCAGTTAGTCCTTACAGTGCTGTGATCCCTGAGTGGCAGGTTGGATAGAGTCAGAAGTGATTCAACAACTAAGAGTAAAGTTGCATTGCAGGAAAAGCAAAATATAAATATATTTTTTTTATTTTGCCCATATGGGACCCATATTGGATTTTTCATGAGTCTGAATGGGACAAATTAATCGACCCAGGTCTTTTTCATGTGCTACTAAATTGAAAAMATAATTTTTTAATGCCTTTGTTCAGTGTATGATTTAGATAAACGTTGTGCAGTTTAAAGCTTGGAACTCTACACATCTTTATCTACAGAACAAAAGTCCAGTTGCTTCAGCTTTTTTTAAAACTCTCTAGATATGTCATGTCCTGGATGACTGAGAATTTACACCAACATATGATGCTAGCGCTGGTATACCAACATGTTGGATCGTATTGATACTAGCACGATGGGATCAATTCTTGATCTTCAAGTTTGTCTCTACTTTCAGTCACTCCCATTCCAGAAGTGAAACTCTGCACCTGAGTAGGCAGAAAGTGTCCAGATCAAATGGACCCACTGGATGAAATAACCCTGTCAGATGATAATTTAGTTGGCTCTGGTTGCAAATTCAGAATGGATCCACGCATGCTAACACGTGTAGCATCTATATTTTCTTCTGTAAACACAGTGCACTGCAGGTGACGTCACATCTTCTTGTGCGGGTTGCTTCAGGACTGCAAATTGTTCACCCTGAAGTCCGATGTAGATTGTATTTAAATTATAATGTCAGTAACCACACACAAAGAAACTGGATCGGAGCAAAAATTAAAAAAAAAAAAAAAAAACTGAAATAAGCTTTAAGTTCTTCAGTGTAAACGTAGCCTAAGAAGGGAAGAATCCACCCAGCAGAACTACAGATGATAATTAATTCCTACCTGGTACTCCTCCTCCAGCCTGGACAGCAGCACAGCCTGCTCCACGCTCAGATGTCTGTCGATCATCCCCAGTGACAGCACCACGGACTTCAGCTGGGTGATCACATACTCGAGTCCTGGTCAGGAGCAAAAAATACCACAAGTAAAACCACATTAATGATACCATGATCTCTAGAACTAGTAGTAGCATTTAAAGGAAGAGTTCATACTATTTCCAGTGAGGTTCAGGAAATGTGAACAATTAATTAATTGTTAACTAACAGTTATTTTGATGAAAAACACTATGGCAATTTGATGTTGCTGTTTGTTTTTACAAATTACCATTTATTATACATATATATGT